CTATTCCAGGCTGAACAGTCCCAGCTTTCTCAGCCTTTCCTCCCAGGAAAGAGATTCCAGCCCTTTGCTGGACTCTCAGCAGTAGCGCCATATATAGTAGCTCCATAAATTCAGCTTTTGCCTGCATTCAGTATCCTCATGTCTTTGAGAAATAAAACCAAACAACTATAAGTACTGTCATTAGTGTTAAGATAGCAACCAGAGAATCATCCTTTTGGGGTCTATAGGAACAACAGTGCTATGAAACAATATAACCTCTAAATGAATTATCACATTCTCATGCCTCATGCTTGTAGGTACGTGACTATGCAATCACTTCAATGACAATGAGCATTTTGTGGCTCAATATCAAACATGCACTATAAAAATTCACCCTGCGAAGTCTCTTATTTCAAAAATGGGAAGCTGAAAATAGCTTTAAGCCAGGAGAAAAGAAACCTGCAATTCCTCAGGCATTCTGAGCAATGCTATGAGTTGTAATTGAAAACTCCCTCATGCAATGTGACCTTGTTTGAATTAATTGGGTTTTGGAATTACTGCTCAATAGTTCAGTAAATGTGGAATTCTCTTACATTTACTCATTGCCAAGCAGAGTCCTACTGGCTGAGAACAGTGAAATGCCCAAAAGTGCCATCTCTTCAGAAAGCTTTGGTTTAATAGCACGAATTAGTTGAGAGGGAGTGCATATACAAATAGTCAGAAAGGTTTTTTTAATGCTACGCTTTTGTGAAAAATGAGGCAAATCAATGAAGTGGATTGTGCTGGTCACTTAGGGTGAGACTTCCTAACTGACTGTAGCACTTCAATTCCTGCATATACAGTATGTATAGAGTCTTCTTTTGAAGCCATCTCACATTGTCTATGAAAGCAATACTCACTGAGCAGATATCCCACCTGGGAGATGGGCTTCCTGAGAAGTGAGCTAGAGATGCAGCGTCTCTCTGAATGAAGATGAAAGTGCTTTACACTATATATAAAACCTCTATCAGGAGAGACTTAGTATGTCCTCCACAGTCTGGAGCTGAGGACATCCATCTGAATGGCCAGAGGTGTGAATTCCAATTTACTCTCTGAAATTGCTCCTGTGACTGGGATTTCAACATGTGCTGTTTCACTACAGAAGATCCAAATTGGTAGCTCCAGTGTTTTTCCAACTCAGTATTTCTGAATTCATGGCAAAACCAAACAAAATCAACAGGAAAAATGGAGCAAACATTCAGAAATATTCTATAGCATACAGAGTATGTCATTGACAGGGCTATCTCCGCATATAAGTCATATAACAAAAATGAGATGATCTCAGATGAAGTGGAAAGAGAGAGTAGTTAAGATTTTCCACATCTCCTTGTTAGCCATGATGTCCTACAACAATCCAGTGTTGTACAATGCTATGTGAATTACTTTTCAGTGCGATGGGTACTGCTAAAGTGGGATAAAGTGCCCTGTGGCACTGCTTCCTGCTAGCAGGCTCTTATTCTCAACAGGACTACATGGCTAACACTCACTCATGTACCAAGCTGGCAATACTGCTGTGGTCTTGGAATCACCAAGAATGGAAAAGATTTCCACAGTCATCCTGTCCAACTATCCACCACCAATATTTCCTCACTATGCTATGTCCCTTAAACCACATCCCATGGTCCTACAGGTCACTTGTGCACCTCCCCACAGCACTCTGCTGCACCAGTCAGGCATTACTAGTAAGGAGCCTTAAAAATGACATATGACCATCCAAATATACCTATGCAGCAGGGAACTGAGCTGGTACTATCTGGAAAAGCAATTCAGATTTCATGCACTCCTGAAAAGTGAAGCACGTCTTGCAAGAGCAATATGTAAGGCAGTAGTAGTCAGGATGACTCCTGCACTTTATGGCCTCCCATTCAGGAAATTAGATGTTGTCTGTGATGGAGGGATGAGGTGGGAGGCAGCAGCAGCTGGAGCTGTATTTTCTCAGCTGTGCATATGACAGCTGTGACTGGATTCAGTTCAGAGACTGAAAAGATACTGTCATTTGGGGCTTCTAACATGAAGTATTTTTTATCGAGTTCATTATCTCTTTACAAAATGAGACAGGATGGACAGAAATGCTCTAATCACAAAGAAATATGATAAGCCTCTGCAGGGGTCACACAGAGCCCGCTTCCAGCTTCCAGCATGCTTCCAGCACTGGCTGCCCCACTGCACTGTCACTTGTCTGGTTCATTTACACCTGGTGTAGGTAGTGAGTAACCTATGCCTTGTCACAACTCTCATTTAGAGTTCCATACACAACTAAACTACGTGGGTCTGCAGAAAAGTTACGTACTCAGCATTTGATTCTACCAATGAGCCATCTGATTTTCTCTGGAAAGTTGTACACACTTAAGAAGAGCTATTGGTAATTCTTTTTCCATCTATTAGCAAACATTCTTAACAGAGCCCACTAATAACATTCCACATAATATTCATTACAGCTGCAACCATTCCACCTTCTGGAAGCTGTTCAAACATCTAGGAAAATTTTCAGAAAATGCATGCTGTAAATATAGATTCCATAGGTTTATAATTGAGCTCATAGATCAAATGTTATTATTTTTATTTTAGATTTACATTTTTAGTTACATGAATTAATTTTTCGCTATGCCTGGGTGTTATGATTTGATTGCTTTACAACATCGATAAGAGGTGGCCATGACCTATATCACTAAAATTTCAAGGAATAATTAAATTGCACTGCCTGTCAATTTGCTAAGGAATTGCTTTAGTTTCTTTGCCAAGAAGAGTCTGTAACATCAGAAGCTAAAAGGGAATTAATGCAATGTAATTTTCCTAAGAATTCAAAAGCTGAATTGGAATTGAAAGCCGATGCGAAACTTTGACCTTTTTGACATTTATTTGAATGAAGCTCGTATAAACATTAAATATCTGCTAATGCCATTTTCGTATTTCAGGCAACTGCTTTTTTTACAATTTTCAGAGAGGAGTGGAGAAATAAGAGATTTTTTGAACTACAGTAATAATAGGAAATGAAGCATCTCACTCTGATGTGGCAAGGGCTGAAGAGGGAAATATGGAAGAGTTTACCCCAGGGTTTTATAAACAAGAACTTATTTGGCAACTGAAAATTGCAATTAAAGTGAGTCACATAATCCTTACTCTTCTTTTAGATAAATATCATTATATTAGATCAGATAAATATTTGTAACTCAAATATTTATTCACCATGAAAGCTGAGGACAGTGGCGCAGAAATAATAATTTGAATACAGAACCACACTCAGAACTGTATACAGTTCATAGGCTTCAAAAGAGTTTTGGCAGGGCTATGCATCTCAAATCATCATTATTTTTGAGATCTTTTTTCTTCTCAATGTCAATATCACTTCACCACAACAAATAAGAAAGATTAAATATTTGGGCAAGAAAATCCATCTGGTAAGTCATTCCCAAAATGAGACAAAGCCATGAGTGAAATGAAAGTTATAGATTTCAATACCTCATTATTTAGCCAGCAGACTGCTAATCAATGCTAAACATTTTTCATAAGTATGAAAACTCCAGGATGAAAACATGTTTATTGCCTAATCTAGTTATTTTCCCAAACATATTCTATTATTCAGCTTTGTTACTCCGGAGAGAATAATTTCTTTTCAGCTGAGAATTTTAGGCTTATCTGGCGTATATATTCAAGACAGCTCAGGTAAAAACCAATTATCTTGATAACCAAAATAATTCTGAAAATATTCCGACTCGGCAACTACAGTCAGATATCAAAATAAGTATTTAGTTCTGCCCTTTGCCATAGAAGGTTTCTTCATAAAATGATCACACATCACTGTAAGACAAAGATGAAACATTAGTCTCTCGGGTAGCAGTGAAGACTCCTTTTATATCATGTATCATGATAGCATTTCTATTAAACAAGGGACAGAAACGTCCCTAGAGGTATCACTGTAAGTCACAGCTCCTGATTTTATGCAAAGTTATACACAGAAATTAAAATGCTATATTGAAGATAAAATAACATTTTATACTACTTCTGGAATACAGATTTCTGTTATTCAACCTTAGTTTACTTCCTCCTAACAATCTGTTATGTAACGTGTGTCAAGCAAATAATTTCCAAAGTATTTCTACATGACACATTTTGAGCTATGTTCTCACCTTCCACAGACGAGCAGCCTGTACTGCAATTTAACGGTGTGTTGCAAGGTCAGTATCATGTTTAGGAACTGTCACTAACTTATTTGGAAACACAAAAGTGAATTTGGAATCCCTTAGCAAAGAATATGTATTATAAGTATTTGTTATAAATTTTTTAGTAATTTTCCTTCTTTCTGTGCAAACATTTGTCTACCTGTGTTAAATACTGATATTTTAAAATGAATACAGCCATCCTTTTTGCTAAGTAACAAATAAGATAAAAGAAAGTTTCAACAAGAATATTAAAGATTCTAAAAATGAATAATACAACAACAAATGCTAATGGTTACTGAAGACATCATGTTTACAATTCAGTCTATTGATACAACTGGTTATGCCTTTTTCTAAAGTAATGTTAATTGCATCTAAGTCAGTTAGACCAAATATTTAATATCTTGCTTCTATTTTTCTTTTGGTACTACTTTTCTTCTGGTACTATAAGGACCTAAATTAAGATCCTTATTGATCTCCCATATATTTATTGTTATATAACAATACACAAATGATGTTTTTGTACATACAATTTTGTATTTGTACTTGGAAAATAAATGAAATAGAGGTCAAATTATATCTGTGCTGAAATTCATCTCCACTGAATAATGCACACAGGAACCTCCCCAGAAGGAGCTTATTCCAAGCTGCAATAGCACAATTTTTGTAAAAAAAGAATGCTGGTATCAGACATCACTAAACAGGGAAGTTATTTCCAGTGTCAAATATCCTCTTACGAAAGAGTATATTTTCACATATCCTTTTACGAAAGACTAAATATTTTTACATGCAGGAGAGTGGAAGGGACAATGTAGATTTGCTTACCTGTGGTTGACCTGATAGTTGAGGTGATGTTGGAAGATGCCATCGCAGGTATACATTCATCATCTTGGGAATAGCCTGCCTGAATGGCACGCAAGTAACTGTGGCTTCTTGTTCGGAAACATCCAGGGAGGTCAAGGGCATCCATTGCCTGAGCTTCAACTTCACTAAACACTGATTCACACACCGATTCAAATTGCCCATTAACCTCTGCTTCACTCATCTGAATAAACAACAACAATGCATTTGATTTTTGACTTGCTTTTTTGTGATCATCACGGCCTCAACATCTCAAATGGACACCTGTACATTGATGAAGAACTGTTTTAGCAAATAGTTAAAATTTAGTAATCCCTTCTGATCACATTTACATTTTTTTATAACTTACATCAGCTGTTTATATGTATATAGTAAGCACATCACACATGCCATACAATTAATTTTATGTTTAGTATCTTTTGGCTATTCAAAAAACTATAATACATGTTTTCAATGGAAACCAACAAGTCTAAGATCACAATGGACTGACAGAAATCCATGTTCGTGGGAGTTGGACTAGATCATCTCTAGGGGTCCCATCCAAACCTTGTAGTTCTGTGTTTCCGTCAGCACTGGGGAACAGAAATTAGCTACACTAATATTAGTTCTCAAAAAGTGAGGGTGGATTGCCTGAGCACCTATCAGCAAAGTTATGCATCATGTAGACCTGCTGCACAGGTTGTTTTCTTCCTCTCATTATGAACGGACGTATCTCATACTTGAAGTTCTGCGAGTTCAGAGAAATATTGCATCTACTTGTGCCCAAAGCATGTGAAATAATATCTATTCTTCAAAACAGTGTGAAAAGCGGCCAGATAAGAAAGTAATGCTTGGACCAGCCTCACGTGAGTAGGGCCTTAAAATAAACTCTCATTTCTTAGTTACTGGTTAGCCATTTGACCACTGTGTAAAAATGAGATGCAGCCATGAGTGCTATCTTTCCTTTAGAAGCGTAATTTTAAGTCTGACAGTTCCATCATAATGCTTGTGGAGGAACCCATATCAGAGCGCACCAGAAGTGCCATGGACACCACCTACCAGCCTGGACCTTGGGAAGGTCTCCACCTCACCCTCCAGATCCTCACAGGGCATAGATAGAAGCCAGCAAGACCCAGTAGGTTGGGTGTGATACAAAATTGAACAGTTTTAGGTAGCTTTCATGATTAATAGGTTTTAGGAGGGCTGCCCTAGGGGTGGGAAGCTCTTTGTAAGAACTTGTACTGAGTTGTGGAGATGAGTGTCTAAACACTACATAGATCCTTTAAACAAGTTCTATAAAGTCAGTCCGGACCGGCTCTAACTGTATGTGAATAATTCCAAATTTTTATCAAAACCAGATGAAAAGCTAAACACTAGACAGACATGCCTCCTGATGTGTCTTCCTGAATATAATTTTTTAAAGGGAGTGCTAGAAATCAGAATCAGTATTAAGACAAGGTAAAATTAGTAGCGTCAGTTAACAGCACATCTAGTTGATATTACTTCTTCTGTATGGGTGACAAGTGCATTTTTCATTGTTACTGTTCCTAGCACATTATTCATTATGGAAACAGTGAGTGCAAATGTTTCAAATGTTCTAGGATTTTGATTAAGTAAATGGAAATTTCATACAGAACTTCTGATGATAATTAATAACTGATATTTTAATTTCATGTAAGACATTTCGGCTACTAAATCTTCTCTGAAAGGAATTACATTACCCTTCATAAAATTTGTTTCTAATAAAGTTAAGTAGTCTAATGCAATCTCTAAAAGATTGAAAAAAAATCTTACACTGAAATATTTTGCATACATCATTCATCAGGAAATTTGTGGTAATGTAATCCATAAACTCAGTAAGTCCTAAACACTTCCTTCATGCTAAGGTCACTGACTGGAAAAATTAAAAGTTTTAAACTTAAATTACAAATGTAAACTATGGAATCCAGCATCTTACTTGACTGCATCCTTGGTCAAAAGTGACAAAAAAAGAAAAAAAAGAAAAAAAAGAAAAAAAAATCTCATGAAAAAGGACATTAGAAATATCACAAATGATACAAACTGCTATTATGTAGATGGGACAACAAGGTGATGGTGTCATAGAAAAGGAACAGAAGGAGGCAAAGGTTCAAAACTTTTTGTTTTAATGCATTTACTTCATGTAGTACTTACTAAATGCTTTTATTACTAATCTGGAAACAGAGAGCAAGTTAGAAAGTACATTTTTGGCACAAAATTATGTGGGTTATTGAAAACCGGAAAAGAAAGAATCATATCAAGCATGACTTGGTTAATTTGTCTAACTGCAAATTAAATCTGTTGTGGACATCTTACCAGGTGATGTGCATTCTATTGGAATGAAAGATTTGAACCACTACTGAAACCAGCTAGTTGTTACAGTTCAGTGAACACCTCTATACACAGAGATGGTCAAAAAGGCAGAAGACATTAGTGTAGTTCTATATTATAGCATTATCTTAGTGACAGACAACAGCCCTTTGCTTTGAATGCATTTTTGTTGTTTTTTTTTCCAAAAATAGAGTTTAATAAACATAGAAAATAAGCAAACCAGGGCAATGAAAACCAAGGCATGAAAATGATGAGACAGATTCCACAAGGGAGCTATGAAAAGAAAAAGGGTTTGGAGAATGACTGACTGACAGTTTCTAGTGCCGGTATGTGCTACATGAGATTATAGTTAGATTTATCTCACATAAATTGAGGAACTTGACTGAAGGGCATTAGTCAGGCAGCTAATACCTCCCAGTGCTCTACAGTCTGGAGAATGACAAGCACTTCCAGAGGGCTCTCAGCCCACTTAGGGTGTGCACTGTCCTGGAAGAAACTCTTTCACTCCATTAAGTTCAGAGGAAAATCTAGTTGTTGCCTCAGTTAAAAGCCTCAAGTAAGATGAGCTGAATCCAGGCCTGAATAGTCGTGCAATACAAATTGAATGTGAATGAGTTCAAAAATTGCTTTAAAAGATATATATTTTCTTAACATAAGCATTGCACATAATTAGCTACTATACCCTTAGGTGCACCATGAAATGCTCAAAGAAAAGTAAAATACTTATCTGAGAGGAGGGCAGGGTCCTACTCTCATGAAGCAGCACAGGGAAGAAATGTCACAACCAAAGAACGTGAGGAACATTGGAAATTGTATGTAAAATACTCTGTTAAACAGAATATCCACATACTTCATAAGGCTGTTTGCAGTTCAGGCCTGATTCAGATCTCACTTCATCATGAGTTAGTACTAAATAACAAATCTAAAAACAGCAGAATGGAAAAATGTCACCTTTCCCGTATGTAGAATAATTGATGAGACTTTTTCTTTGACCCAAGAAGAATGAAGGGATTGAATTAAAAGATGAATCACTGCTCCTTTGGAGCATAATTATTTTAATCAATATTTTAATCTGGCAACCTACATTTATTGAAATCAGAGTGGTATTTTCAGAGGATAAGTTTTATAGGAGTGTGCCTTTTATGTCGTCTGCATCTTCTTAAGTATTTAATGCACACTGAAACTGAAAATATAAGTATTTGTTGTTTTTTTTTCTGAAAAAAAAAAAGGAAAATATTGTTGTGTGTTACTGTGTCCTTTTGCTTCTAGTACTGAATATTTTTGTTGAAATTACGAACAAGGGTAATATTCTTTAGAACCAAATTACTTTGACAATCCATATCCTCAGTCTGATATTACTTCAAACAAACAATCAACTATAACCACTACCAGCAACTCTTGCATCTGTGATTAACCTAGAAGAAAAGTTACAACAAGAATTTCCCACCTGACTAACACAGCTGGCCTGACTGAGCGTGCTCACTGCTCTCATATAGCTCTGATTCCTTGAGCGAAACTTTGGGGAATTGTAGTTTGCAGAGGGATCCAGGTTGTGACCCCCAGGCACGTCACTTGCAGTTTGAAGGTAGCTCTGACTACAAAGGAAAGAGGAAGAAAAAAGGAAAGGATGTAAAACTACAGATGGAATCAATTAGGACACTAAAGACAGTATTTTGTACACGATTCATAAATCCATTCCCCAGGGTCAAAAATCTCTCTCTGTAAAGCATCATAGATCTGCTGTAGTAAATGCTTTGACACAAGCAGAGAATGTCTGCAGTTCTGCTACCTGAAATTTTAAGTATCTTTGCTGTATTTAAACATCATCAATCCTCCCGACTATTAACACTGAACTTTACTCAAACAGAATGCATAGGTCATCAGAAACAAGAAACAGAGCTAAAGCATAAACCAAAGTAACAAAAAACATCTCATAGAGATAACAAAATCTGTTATTTGTTATCTGTTCTTCATCAAGTGCTAGGCTTCAAAAGACCTTTTATCTTTTTACCAAAGATCAAAATATCTTCTGTTCAGTGCAAGATTAGTAAGGGATTCAGAGCACCTGCATAAAGCTCCAGAAATGCTATTCTTGCAACACATCTCCCCATTTAGAGGACTGGGACCCTAACACCATACTGAGTACCTTCAAATGCTTTTGCTACAAGGCTATGTTAGTCTTCATGTTATACATCAAAGACATTGATTAGCTATCATTCTGGGAAGGTAAAGGAAGTAGAAGAAAAGAACTGTACTTTGCTTTGAATACAGAATTAAAAAAAAATTGAAAGTTATGAACAACATTTATCTGAGACATCAGAAGCTCTAAAAGGCCATATTTTAGGAGTCATATGTCACTTCTCCTTAAACAGCAGTGCACAAATTTATGAATATTTCAGAAAATTTGGGTTTTCATGTAGTAAATAGGCAGCGCTTAATGGTAGTTTTAACAATTCCTTAGAGGTAGTTTTAACAAAAACACAGTTTCTGTGAAAAATGGATCTGCGCCAGTGAAATATCTATCAGTACTGGCAATGCACTTTGAGTCACTCAGTGCAGCAGCAGCTGTGATATGTGCCAGGGCTGTTGGGAATTTCCCCATGGAAGGGGAAGTTTCTGCTGTGGAAGGACCAGACCGCTCCAGCAAATAAAGCCACAGGTTCCACTCCAGGTGCAAAGTAAGGTATAAACCATGACTTGGCTTCTTACGTTTATGAAATTTCAAGCATGACCATAGGCCAGTGCTTAGGGAAGGATTCATCAGACTTCCTTGAGGAGTAGGCCTAGATTTGAGCAATCCACGAAGAACACTCGGAGGAATCTCAGGCCCTTTGTCGTGACTTTGACTAGAGCAGCAAGGAGTGCTGAGTTCTGGCTCCCTGTGTGGCCATTTCCTTTGATATCAGACATGTAAGATGACTCAATGTCCTTCACATCACCAGCTGCGAGAACAGATGGGATTTATAGACCTCCTGACCTTACACTTGGAAGATCTACTCTGAATTGTTCCATGTGTTATTCCTGCCTTGGTCATCTCAGGCTCAGCACAGACAGCTTTATTTCCTTGGGGCAGCTATCTGCTTCTCTACGATGGGCTGCCTGCTTCTTCTTCTTCAAAGAAAAAGGAAATGTCATTTACTTAAATCTTCATGCGAGGCAGGCTTTATTTTCTGAACTCTTAAGACATTTCCCTGGAAGCTATACTGTTTTTTACTTCCTGATTTTGGTTGCTGCCTTTCATAGAATATCTCCTTAACTTCAAGACAGAGGTAAACTGTGTAGAAGCTATGCTATATCTGTTGAATCAAAATGAAAATGTATGACACAGGTACAGGCACCTGAACATTGGCTAATTAAATCATTACTGTCAAAATGACTTGCAGATTATGGTAAGTCTCTGATAGAGGCTCTGATTTGATTTTAGATTATGAAAACAGGAACTGTAATCACCTTTTTTGTTCCCATTGGTGTGAAGACAAATATAACAGATTAGGCAAAGTGATACAGAGCCTACCTGCCCACATTAAATTGTTGGATGTAACAACACCTTTTTTCCTTTGTAGGCATCAGGCTGATGGTTGTCACCTTCTTTGTATCATCTTGATTCTTTTTATATGCTTTACTAAATCTGCCTAGTATTGTTAATGTAGTATTTTTCAGAACAGTTTGATAAGTCACATCTGGACCTTCTGCTTGTCATCAGATGATAAAATCTTGGATTCTGAGTTCAGAAGCAGTTTATGAATGAAAGGAGTATTTGAGATATTTGTTAAAACCAGGGCAAAATAAAGAAAGAGGCAAAATAATTAAATTGTGAATAAATTATTATTTTAACAGCTATTTTAAAAAATGAATTAAACTGGCTCCTAATAACTGGTTCCTTCGCTAAGTGATTTTGATGAAAAATAGTATTTCTTTATGGAGGTACCGGTTCCTTGTGAAGTATTACTATCATTAAAAACAATCAACAATGTTTACAACAGTAATTTGTGAGAAGAATAAGCCCCATATGCCATGGTACTGCCAAGCAGCTGGGTTTTGATCTATGAGTTTGGACATAACATGGTAGTTAAATAATTTTTCATTTATCAGAGGAAAGCAATTTATTCATAGGGCTCTAACAAAATAAAAGAAGTGTTACATGTATTAGACTGTAAAAGCAATTTCACATTTCTTCAATTAATAGTTTGAACTCCTTTCTGTTAAAAAGAAATGATTAATTTTCATTTTTAAGATATACGTTCAAGTTAATCCTCTAGGATAAATGTCTCAATGCATAGTAAAACTGGCGGTCATGTTATAACCATGATCCAGAAACATAAATGCTTTAAACACAAAAGTTATATAGATATATTTTTTTCAAATATCATTACCCATTGCTCAAAAAACTTTCACGATTACCAATATGTGACATTGGTAAAAGCTGGCTTTTTAATGGCAGTCACTCTGTTTATAAACTCAGCTACAAATTTCTTGACCAAAATACCAAAATATTCCAAAATACCACAGCTCTATCAACTTCCATATAAGAAAATGATTTTCTTTTATGCTCTGCAGTAGATGGCATTATCAGCTAATTGCTGATGAAGACAAGCATGGACATATAAAATGGTTTGATAGTTCATCTCCAGGGCCACAAAACAAATGCACACATTAACATTAAATAGGTGACTGCAAAGTTTGGTACTATGGAAAGAAAGGAAGAGACTAAAAGCAAAAATTAAACTGATATGTCAGCCCACTTTCCACTTGCTTTTCAAAACAGACAAGTTCTTATGGATTCCTCTTTAAAAGCCTCTTTGTTTTTTTTTTTTCCCCTCAAGGGTTGCCTTCCCTTTACCACTGGATTCAGAGAAAGTCCACAGAAGCTAGGGGGAAATCTTTTTTGAGACGTCTCTTAGCTGAAGGCAAGGTTCAAAGCCTCAACAAACTTTTGGGTATAAGGAAGTCCTATGTACAGACACTGCAGCTCCTGACAACATCTACTCTAAAAGGAAAGCGTTAGGAGTCCCAGTGAAGATAGCCAAATTTGCAACAGCACTTTCAGTACCAGGCAGATTGTGTGAGTGTATTCAGGGAAGACAAAATATTGTATTATAACAGTCAACTACAGCATGGTATGCTCATGTGGGATAGTATACCTGGTAGTATATCTGATAATACATCTCATATATATAATCCTGACATAGAGTGAACGAGCAAGAAGTTAGACTGCATATTCAAACAGAAAAAAAAAGTAGATGAAGAATAAGGGAAGAGACAACAGTCCAAAAACAGACTACTTAGAAGTTTCTAGAAGTCTTGGATTACAGCCTCCCTTTTTTTGCTTACCTCTAGCCTGCAAAGTCTCAGGTCTCTATATCCAGACCTCATATGCCCTGCAGCTCCTATCTGAAAGCTGCATTTTCCTTCAGCCCCCGAATTCACATATACAAAAAAAATACACATTCAGCTCTCCTCTCTTCTTGGTCAACCCAGATCCTACTCCTTCCTGCTGCTTAGACTCCTCTCAATTCCCAGCCCACAGTTCTGTTCAAGAGCTTTCAAAACATCATCACAGAAGCCAGTAACCTCTGTTACTTTAGGCCTAAAAGCTACAAGGTATGCTGAAAAAGAAAAAAGAAAAGAAAAGGAAAAAAAGACGTTTATGACTTCCAGAAAACACATTTTCTTCTGTTTATCCATTTCTTGTAGCTATCTTTAAAAGGACTCCAAACAGTAAAGATGTAGGAAGACACTTAAGTTTACTTATTGTGATCAAAAAGCATTAGATGGTATTTAGATTAGACGGAGGAGCAAATCTAGGTCCCCTTATCTTTTTTACCCACTTATCCTGTTGTAACCAAGACTTGAAAAACTAAAGGGTATTTAGAACATGCTTTAATAAATGGAACAGTCATGTAAGCTAATGCAATAACTGCAGTATTGCTAATGCAATAACTGCAGTAAAGCATTAGTAAGGGAAGGAATCTTATTTCCTCATCCTTAGCCATCTATTATTTAGCCATTTATTTCCTCTGTTAACAGCATTTTTAAGAGGAGTAAAATTGTTTAAGTTACTTTATACTAAATAACTTCCTTTGTTCTTTTTCCAGAATTTCACTGTTCTACCTAACTTTTGTAAAGTTTAAATGACTGCGCACTGTGCCTGAAGCAGCCAAACAACTTCAGCAAGAATTGCTGGCTGATTCGTGGTGTTCTCGCTGTGGTCTTTACTAACCCTTGCTGTGGTCTTTGCACCACTCACTTGGTTTGTCACTTTGTGCAGCACTGAGTTAATGCTTTGTCATCACTGAGCTCAGATGCTGATGTGACTCTTTTTTTCCAAAAGCCTGTGTCGCTGCTATATGACTAGCATTTCTGCAAACTGGACTTATAGCATTCAGTACTGTACAGTGACTCATTTAACAACTGGATGTTCTGCAGAAGGGATGTCTTTCGGCCATTCGGCTAAAAGATATCTGATATGCATGACAGGAAAGGCATCTGATATGCATGATAATAAAACATTATCGTTTTCCTTTTAGGACACCCTGAAATTCCAGATTGACTAACTGACTTGGTCTTAGAGTTTATAGCTATGCCAGAGTCCATG